GAGGTTGTGAATCTTTACAGGAGCAGAAAGCCTCATCTTTCTCCTGCGGAGTGGTTGGTAGTTTGGAACTGCTGACCTTGAGGTTAGCAGCCCGATTCGTAACTACTACACTACCAGAGGTAACTACTGGGCTATGAGTTCTGGTGTGGCACTGTGGGTTAATGCACCAGACTGAAAAGCCATTTGAACTGCAAGGTTGGAGGTTCAAGCTCACCAGCTGCTCCTTGGAAACCCTATACAAGGTCGCTATGGGTCAGAACCAACTTGATGGCACTTCACAACAACAACAACCAAAAGGTCAGTGGTTCAAGCCCATCGGTCAATCCAATGAAGAAAGATACGGCAGTCTGATAAAGATTTACAATCTTGGGAAATTTACAGCCTCAGAAACCCTGTGCAGGGTCACTTTGAGTCCGAACTGACTCCACGGTACTTAGCAACAACAACCTAGGGTTGATATGAGCTCAAATCTTTGCATTGATCTCAGATTGTATCCTTAGGCTACCTTCCTAGAGATGGAATTACTGAGTTACAAGGTGGAATAATGGTTAGATAGAGGCATCTAACCTTCATCTTCACAAGAGGGAAGGAGAACCAAAGCTGATTCCTTTGAGGTAAAGGTCAGGCATAACTCCTCCCTCCAAGCGTTTTACCAATTCTGACACCAAACATCCCTCACTGCACTCTCCTACTCTGCTGGGCTTGATAATTCATTGCATGGCCACAAAGAACTCACAGACAATACCCACAATTAAGGGGTTTATTAAAGAAGTAAAAGGGCACAACTTGGGATAGACATCAAATTGAAAGAAACAGAAACAACTAAGGGTGCAGTTTGATCAAGACGGCTTCCTCTTGCCCAGTGCCTCTGGGCCCTACTAGGGGCCTTCTTGGGCAAGTGCTACCAAGCTCAGTGAGTGAGCCAGCACAGTCACCTTGCTCTGGTCTCCAGGTTCCTGTTATCTCCTACTGCTGCTCTTGTACTGCTGTCTGTTGCTGTCTTCTGTTCTGCAGCTCCCTCTTCCTGTGTCCTATGTGTAGGAGGCTCTTAGCACAGTGACCTGGGCTCCAAAGGTTGTGGGTCCCTCCCGGCTTTTTGTTCTTGATTTTAGTGAGGCCTCCCTTGTCTTCCTCTGGACCTGGACCAGCTCATTTTCAGCCAGGTGGGATGGCAAAATTGACCAATCCCCTTGTTAAGGTTCCATATATCTTATTTGCATAAGCCCACCACCTTCTTTGCATTATTAGCACACTGTCCAATCACTTTGGTGTGTCCTAAGCACTTCATTTGCACAGTCATTTGGTGGGAGTTACAAGTCCTGGTGTGGTTATCTGTGTTAATGCAAGGTCAGTTTGAACCACAAGGTCAGTGGTTCAAGATCACCAGCTGCTTCTTGGAAACCTTATACAGGTTTGCTGTGAGTCAGAACCAACTTGCTGGCACTTAACAACACAAGTCCATGGCAAGAAAGGCATTATAAGAGCAACGCATTGCACTGCACAGGGTAAAACCATTCTCGAAGCCCTTACTGTGTATTGCCGAATCCCAGCTTTTGACTCAAGGCCTGTTATAGGATTAAAATCCCTATTGCCATCAGCCTATTTCAATCGATAATCAGTAAATAATTGCTGAATGGATACATGCTATCTTATTTATCCAGTGCAGCTATCACAGAAATACCACACGTGGATGACTTTAACAAACAATTTTCTCATAGTTTAGGAGGCTAAGAGTCTGAATTCAGGGTGCTAGCTCTAGTGGGAGACTTTCTTGGTTTCAGCTGTGAAGTCCTTGTCACTTTGAGTTTCTGTTTCTGAGAGATCTTCATGTGGCTTGGCATCTCTCCTCCCCCAATTATGTTTGCTTGCTTTAATATCTCAAAAGAGTGAGTCAATGCACACTGTACACTAATCCTACCTCATTAAAATAACAAATACAACCTGTTCCCAAATGGGGATTCTAACATGTTTTTGTCAGGATTTGTTATAATGCATATTTGTGGAATACAATATGTTTTTTTTCCCTAAAGGTTTCCAATACAAATGCCCTCCAGAAGGATTTGACTGATTATTGTTTCCATCAGCACTATTAGAGAAGAGTTTATCTTCATTTCAGTCCACATTATGACAGAAGCGATGATTAAAGCAGGATTTTCATTTCTGTGATTCGGGCAATGAAATAATCCATATGCCTTAAAACAATAACAAAAAAATGAGACTATAAGGTTGAATCCTCTCCAAATGACTTATAATTTTAACAAGCTCTGCTGTTTTTGAACATGGTAAGTGCCGTCGAGTTGGTTCTGACTTACAGCAACCCTATCCAGGTTTCCAAGAATTTGAACCACCAGCCTTTCACTTACCATTCCAGTGTTTATCTCACAGTACTATATTGAGACAAAAATGGAGTGTAGGAAAAGTTCTGATGATTTGGAGGGCTGAATCATGAAGTTCTATGTTTCCTTCTTTACAATCCCTTCTAATGGGTCTTGGCCACTTGTGGTTGCTCAAAGGTCCCATTAAGCTTGAGACCTGATGAAAGATACCTTTTAGAAACAATTCAAGCCTTTGTTGTGATGTCAGATTTTGGTGGTAATGGTGGTTGTGATGGTGGTGGGTGGTGGGGCGCTACCAATAGATGCTGTCCCTTATCTGAAAAGTACCAATTTGGGAGAAACAAATTTAAGGGCTGGAAACCCTCCATTCTGTGAGTTGTAATGGGAAGAGAAAAACTAACATTGTTTGACTTTTTCTTCCTTCCTACTCTACCATGTTCCTTATAGCAACCTTTCAGACAGACATTATTCTCCATTTTGTAGACGAGAGCACTGGGGCTCAGAGAGGTTGGGTAACTTATGCAAAGTTGTACAGTTGATGAATGTAAGAGTTGGAGCCCTTGGACCCCCAGACCCTCACACCAGACTCTCCGAACTGAGAACCTGGAGATCCTGGTCTCCTGAGTCCAACTCTCTGCAGTTCTGGAGTAATACCCTGGGAGTCCTGGTGTGGTGCTGTGGGTTAATGCGCCAGACTGCAAAGCCGTTTGAACTGCAAGGTCAGCGGTTCAAGCTCACCAGCTGCTCCTTGGAAACCCTGTACAGGGTCATTATGGGTCAGAATCAACTCGACAGCACTTAACAACAACAACAACCCGGGGAGAGGCAGTGAGTTTGTGATTTCTGTGTGGGTATGGGGCTGCAGGCGGGTTGTAGCCTTGGGGTCAGGTCAAGTGTATAGCAGATTTGGGTGTGAGAAGGTGATACTAAGGTTCTGTGGCTCTGTTGTTTAGGTTCTTGTAACTGTTACAGTCTGAGGGATTTGGGCTGAGGGCTGTGAGGGTTGAAGACTTAGTGGGGTGAGCTAAGAGCTGGGCCAAGCGTAGAGACTGAGTTTTTGGACCAAGGGTTCTCAGTTCGGAGATTTTGGTGTGAAGGTCCTGGGGTCCAAGGGCTCCAACTGTGGAGCACAGTTCTGGGGGCCCAGCTCATGAAATCTCAAGTCAGATGAGCCACATCAAAGGTCTCTGTAAAGCTTTGATCCTCGAGGCTTTATCAAAAAGACTGTGGGTGTTCAGGGAGTCCAATCCTGAGAGATAGGGTGGAAAGAGAGGTACAGTTTCGAAGGTCTTCAGGTCTGACAGTTCCAGCTTCTGAGGCTTGATTTGGGATTCCCAGAGCCTGAGGGATCCTGGTTCCCAGAGCTCAAAAGCCCAGTGCCTTCCAAGATGAGGATCCTTAGAGGCGATGGTTTAGGGTGTCGTGTTCCCGTGTCCAAGTCTTGGTGCTAAGAGCACCGGGTCTGCAGAGTGATTGCGAGGAGCTGGGAGACTTGGGCTAGAACCAAGGTAAGGTGGAATTTGTCCCTAGGGTCCCACGGGCGACCCATATAGGTGTGTCGGTGCTAGGACCCGGCGGGAGACAGCTGCTAGTGTTGACAGCGTCGGCATCAGGAGAGGAGGCGCTAGGACCCTGCGAGCCCGGCGGGTGGCGGCAGCGCGTGGGGCGGCGCGTGTTGACAGCGGCGGCGGCGGAGCCGGGCGGGCGGCGGGAGTAGGCGCCTCCGGTTCCTGCCTCTGGTTCCCGAGGCGGCGGCTGCCGGCGTCCCGGGATGGCCTTCATGGAGAAACCGCCGGCTGGCAAGGTGCTGCTGGACGACACGGTGCCGCTGACAGCAGCCATCGAGGCGAGCCAGACTCTGCAATCCCACACGGTGCGCGGCCCGCCAGCCGGCCGGGCAGGGAACATGGGGTGGCCAGGGGCCGCGAGGGGATGATGGGCGGCGGTTGCGGGCCGGGCCGGGTTGCCGGGGCGGAGGCTAGGCTGCGGGGTTGGAGGCCCAGGCCAGGAGGGCTCTGGCGCGGCCGCGGGTCTGGGTCAGGGCCCCCAGGGCCCAGGCGAGCGCCGAAGTCCAGAGGGGCCAAGACGGGAACCACAGCCTCCGGGGCTGAAGTGGGGTCCTTTCCCTAGAGAGTGGAGGGTGGACCACAGTCCTCGGGGCCGAGGTTAGGGTCCGCAGCCCTCAGGGCCAGGGGTGAGAGGAGCTAATTGGTGCCTCCCACCGAGGGCCAGATCTGGAACCTCCAGCCCAGGAACGGGGCTCCGAGTCGGGAGAGGTGCTGGGTCCCTGGGCCCACCTGGGCCGAGGGAGTAGTTCAGAAAGCGCTTAGGACCGTCTCATCCACGCCTGCCTACCATCAGTCTTCTCTTTGGGGTTGTTGAATCTTCCTCCTTACACTGGAGTTCTGAAAGGTGGGGATGAAGGTGTGCCGGGCCCAATGAAGTATGGATTAAGAGTCTGACTGTTCTGACAGCAGAGTGAAAGTGACCGGGAGTCTTCCCATTTCCCGGGAAGCTGCGTGGCTGAGGCAGGTGAATCGGTGAGGGAGGTGGCCCCGGGTCCCTGCTGAGGCAGGTGTCTGACCCTCCTCTAACCTGCATTGTAGTGGGGCAGTAGTAGCATTCATTCGAATTTTAAATCCACTGGGGTAGAGTCAAGGAGTAATAGGTCCTTACAGTAAACACAGGCAGAGTTCATTTCTGTTGCATTTTACTATCTTTCATGGGGCTTTAAAACCATAGTTGTTTTCATTTGCTTTTACCTTTTTTTTTTTTGAAAGTCACACTATGCATTATAATTCCAATAAACTCAGAAACAGGATAGGCAAAACACAAACAAAAAACCAGCAACAACCTGGAGCTGCCAGCCACTGGGACTTTTGGGAAATAATGAATGGAGGGAGCCAGAGAGAGATTCCTTAGGATGTAATGTTTTGTCAGGCCACCAGATCTGTCCTGGGCTCAGAGGCTTGTTTGTTTACTATGTCAGTGTGTTTGGTGTTCATCATCTGGAGACTAAAGCCCCATAATAGCCTTCTGTTTCTCTTTTTGTTCAAGTTGTTCTGGTGACTTCAAAAGAGATCTTTCATTCTGTTGCATGAGTGTGGGTTTTTTCATTTTCTTTCTAATGTTTTTTTTTTTAACTTCAGTTTCCTCTTCCTATGGCCATTTTCTACAGGTCTTGAACTGTTCTAAGTGTTTATTTCCAGTTGGGAAAACGAATATGTTTTTAGAAAGTGCATTTATTTCCTCTAATCTTCTCAGATCTATGAGAAGGCGTCACATAGGACAGAGTGTGTTGAACTTGAAATGTGTGCCTAAAGGACTATGTGTTAAGGGTTGAAATTGAGGACAGGGAGTCAAGACAATTCTGGGATGGAATTAAACTTTTAACATGACTGTTGGCAAGTAAAGCTTGCCCTTTCAGGGAATGGGGTTGAGTCTTCTAGGTTTGTTTTGTACTGACAGTGAAGAGAAAGATGCTTAAAAATGCTCACAGATCACTTCTAGAAAGTATTCCATGATGGCTATTGGCCCATGTGCTCACCTTCATTGTAACTTTGGATCATTTGGTTCTATAATTACTTCTTTACCTTTTTCTTTCCACCAAGTAATGAGAGAAGGGAAGCGTCTTGTTTAATTTTGGGTCTTAATCCCAAGCGTTATTAGGATTTCATATGTGTTGGTTGATGAATAAATAAATGAACTGCAACCTTACTGTCCTTTTTCTGCTTGTGTAAAATGATAGTGGTGATAACTGGAGCAACAAGGCGTCTTAGGTGCTAACTTTGGGGTTAGTACTTCATCTGCTTGGGTGCTGTGGTGAAAACTGTAATAGGACTCCATTTTGTTGCAAAGCCTTTTCTTCAGAAATAAAATAATTTAGGGTGGAACATGGCAGTTCCTATAATGATGACTAAGTACAGAAGACAATGACTCACAGGAGACCCATAGAGGCAGATGTGATGGAATAAAAATGTAGCATTGTCTTGCGTAATTTTTCAACTGTTCTGTGTTCTTGTTATTTTACTGTGATGTTTGAGACTGAGAAATGTTGCATCATCCCCGAACTTTATTGAGAAAATCATATGCTGAGGCAAACTTTTTGGACTCTTAGTGTCTTATGAGTAAGTCCCTCTAAAATAGGAACTCTTGGAAATTATTTTGGAAAGAAATAGTTGTTAAGGTTGGTATATAGAAGAGGAAGACATTCTCTCTTATTAGAAAGGGCGAAGGTGGCTTTCCAGTGTGTTAACTGAAGGGATCCAAGTCTTGGAAGTGGAGACTGTGCCCCAAAAGTCAGAGGTCTGCCCTCCCTTTGAAATAACTGAATCTCTAGAAAGTTGCTTCTGGCTTGCAGGAAAGAAACAAAAGGAAAAGTGTATCCAGTAGAAAGCCTTTGGGTTGGGGGAGGCAAGACCTTAGTACAAGTCTGAGCTGACACTTTATAGCTGTATGATATTGGTCACTTAACTTTTTTGATACTTACTTTCATCATATGTAAATGGTGCTAATAAATGCTGGTCCTGCTTGCCTCCTTAAATCAAATGAAAAATCTTTTTCAAATATATAAACAATTTCTTTCTTCCTTCTACTCCCTGAAAACATATATGCAAAGGATTAAACACATTTTAAAAAGCTAATTTCTATCCATAGTTCCTTTCATTTATCAAGATTGTTTAGTTTTGGGAAACAGAGAATTTCAGGTTAAATCTGAAGTGTGGAGGGAAAAATTCAGTGGAAGCTAACTCCACTTGGAAAAGACAGGTACTAGGAGGAGGATGCAAGCACAAGGTGCTGACAGTCTATTCTGATGAACAAGTGGTAGAAAGGATGAAGGTTGGTAGCTGTTCTTATGGTTTGAATGATTTTATTTTCATTTTTATGGAGTACAGCAAATTTTATTTCAGGGAATATACCAGGTTTCACTGCAAAGAAATGAAGCTTCCATTAAATCAGAGAGAACAGTATTTAGGGGCTAGATGTTTTCAACATGGGGTCAGAGGAACAGGGAGGGCTTTCTAAGCAAAAGGAATTTGGGTAAAAAAATCACCCAAGTAAGCAGTGAAAAAATTGGAGCGGACTAAGAGAGAAAATAAGGGAAATATAGACTCTAGGTTACATGAAAGGGAAAACTTTTTAAGTCAATAGACTGAAGAAGAAGAAAAATGCTTACCTAGCTGAAATAGAAACCCAAGGAAACTGACAATTTTGAAGAAGGTTTTTATCAAATGGGCATATCCAATTTTTGCTGGCTGGTACACAGTAGTGTGATAATTTTGTGGGGGGAGGGGGCGGATAGCAATTTATTAGTGCAGGAAACAAATCATCTAGAAGTGTCTTTGGAGTTTAGGGGACTACTACATCTAATTCCTGGGCACTGTCCTTAGGGAACCTTCTCTGTGTTCGATTTGCCACTCTTCTTCTTTTGGTTGTTTTTTTTTGTCCATCAAGCTGAAAGAGAATGATATTCCCAGGCAACTCCAGACTTAAATAGTCCATTGAAACCATGATCTCAGAAGGAAAGCCATTCTTTCTCCATTAGTGTCTTCATGTCTCATCACAAAAGGATCCCTATTGGTTCTGATGGTGATTACCCATGTGTTCCACCATGAGCCAATCACTAGCTTTGTAGGCATGGAGCACTCTGATTGGCTGTCCGTGGTCTCCTGGCTCATTTTACATTGGCATCCTGGGGCTCCTTGATTGACACCCTAGGGACTGAATCTACTAGGGAAACATACATGTATATGCTTTTTCTCTTTGAGTATATACTGGAATCTGCAATTAGGGGGAGAGTAGCTTTAGTGTGTATTCTCAGTTAATACATGCTGTATCTGGAATCCAAGGATTCATGTTTAAATTCTTGTTCTTCCATTTGTTGGTTTGGCACTTTGAAATGTGGGTTAAGAGCAGTTTGAACCCCAAGAGCTACTCTGCGTGACTACTCCACGGAAGAAAGAGGAGGCTATCTGCTCCCATAAAGATTTACAGCCTCAGAAGCCCTACTTAGGTTCCCTATGAGTTGGAATTGACTTGATTACAATGAGGTTGTTTTGTTTTAAAGCCATGGTTTAGCAGTACTGCATTCAGCTTGGGGTTTTTTGTTTTTTTTTTAATTTAAGGTTTTTATTGTGGATTGAGTGAAAGTTTACAGAGCATATCATCAGTTTCACATTCAACAATTCATATAACTTGTTTCATTACATTGATTATAATCCCCTCCATATACCATCAGTTAAAAGTATTTCTCTCT